TTCAACCTGTTTCACCCTGTGGAAATTTAAGGAGGAAGACGAAGAATAGGGAAAAAAGACAAGACAGAGAAGGCTTCAGCTCTGCTCTAATACCTAGAGTAAAATCATTGTCAGACAAATTGCTTTACTGCTTGGTTTTCCAATCTGTAGAACAAGAATGATGTCTTTGAGAAACACAAAGAGAACAGCCTGAACTGCTGATTCAACACCATTAGGAGTTTTGATGATGTTGAATGAAAAGTGGCCACTGTCTCGGTTTATTGTGAGACTGAAATATTCTGTGGAGTTCTCAGCCGTTCTGTGATACTACCAAGTTTATAGTTTGTAAATTAAAATGAATTTAAATATTTTCTGGGCTACAGAGAGAGTTTGTACCATGCTGGTAGTTGGGAGGACACGAGTTTTAGTCTTATTATCAACTACCAATGCACCAAGTCTTCTCCTTATCTCCTCCCAGTCTGCCTGGACCTTACTGGGGTGCCCAGGTGTTGGTTGCCCTGCTCTGGTTGGCGTGACTGGCTGATGAGCTCAGGTGTGCTGAGAGGAAAGCAGGAATCAAATTCTCACCTGTTTTCCTTCTCTTTCTTTGTCTGAAAACATCAGTTTAGGACTCTCAGAAAGCTGCTGTACCTGTCACACTCATTTTATTTCCCCTAGTGCATTCTTGGTCTCCTGTAACCTCCTGCTGGGAAACAGAATGTGATCAGTGGACACCTGCACTGCTAATAAACCCTGCCTCCTGCTCTCCCTGGGTCAGGAGACATGGGCACGGGGCCTCAGCCACGTACGGACGTCTTCTGCTCAATGTCCTGTCTTTACTGACAGCACCATTTCTTGTAATTAGGCTCCTGCAGCAGGTCGTTAACCCGGGGGCAACAGCCGATTGTCTCCATTTAACTTCACTGCTCAACTTGAGCTTCGTGTTCCAACCCCAGTGTCTCGCCAGCGCTTCCTTTCCTCTCTGCTCTTCTCTTGATGGAGGGGTAGAAAGCAGAGACAATTGTTATTAATAGGCTAAATCAACCTTTGCCTTTCTACGCCTCACCTTGACTCCAGTGAGCAAAATGAGATCTGTAACGCTCAATGAAGAAAGAGGAAAACCAGTCATAAAAGTCACCTTTTCTTTTAAAATTGTGGTAGCAGAAAATGCAATCTATGAACATTGCAGTTCACTTTTGGGTCAAAAAGGACTGGTAGCTCAGCTGAGGGGTCTCAGGGGAGAGCTTTTTTCCACTCGGGCCATTAGCACGTCATCATTTCATACTTCAGAAAGGTTCCTCGTCCCTAATACGAGAGACTTCAGAGAGGTTCCTGTCCTGCTGAGTGTTTGCACCAACCGACCAGAGTAATGAGAGGTATCAAAGCATTGGTGGGAGATGTGGTATTAAAAAAATACTGTCTGTCCTGCTGAGTGTTTGCACCAACCGACCGCAGTAATGAGAGGTGTCAAAGCATTGGTGGGAGATGTGGTAGTAAGAAAATACTGCTCAGTTGCTGATTTTGATGCAAACTTTCAAAATGTAATTAATAGTTCAGCCAGGCTGAAATGAAAATACAACATTTGCACAGAAATCCAGGAGGCTGCAATTTCCTTTGTGTGGGTTCAAGAGCAGCTTTAATCCATCGGTGGCGGCTCTTTCATTGCTCCGGCCTCGCAATAGTTTCCTTTGGTTTTTTCCAAGGTCTCAGAACACTTAGTAAATTTTCCTTTGGTTTATGCAGGTTATACCAGGACTACTTGTCTATGCTGTCCAGGTATTCACATTGGGCCAGTCTGTTTCTGTCTTGCTTTGGTAGGAATTTGTGTACGGCTGATGTTGAGATTCATATTAGCAGCTTTTCTTTCACAAGCCAAGGGCAAGGTTAATAATTCTCAGTTTTTTTCTTGCATTATTTGGAAGCTATAATTCCAGGAATACAAAAGGAATACAGTTTCAAGTACTCACCACTACTAGAAGATTGCAGATCAATTATAAACATTTTCAGTTTTCTTGTTTTGGGGGAAAATGAGTCATTGCAACATAACGAAAAGCAAGTGATGTTAGACAGCAGAGTGCCAGGGATTTTGAGATTGTATACGTACAAAGCTAAACTGTGGAAGGAATGAAATGGAGAAGGTAGTAGGACCACGGTCCTTTGAAAACAACAGTACAAAAATCTCATCTTTGAAAATGAGTTTCAATGGCTTACACTGCAGAGAAAATCAGTGTGGCAACTGGAAAACATTTTCAAAATTACAGAGTCTCGGCTTTCAGAGAAAGGAGATGGAAACTGAGAGAAGGGAGCCAGAGAAATAATATTAATGTTTCCAGGTCCAACTTTTATTTGTTGATTCAATTCCAGTTTGGTTTCTTCTTCTCTGAACCTAAAGTTTCAATAGCTTTTACTTATTTATTCCTCCTTTGCTCAAAAATCTAGAAGGCCATTAGATGTCCAGTCTCGGCGTCTGCTGCTGGAGACTCCTCAGGCTGTGGGTATTTCTGAAATCTCCATCCCCTTCCTTCTCCCTCTGTGAGCTGCAGCATCCTGATCTCATTTTATTCACTGAAAAATCTCACATTTTGGGATTATCAGCCTGGGATCGGACAGTTCTTGGGAGAATGTGGTGTCTTCTGTGATTGTGCAGTGGGGTCTGGACTATGTTTGGAGTCTGAGTTTTAGTTTTTCCAAGTAATCTTGTTAATAGTCTGGTTACTTTATTGAAAAGATTGTGTTGAAAGACTAAAGAAAGGCTGCAGGATGTATCTTAGAGCATTTGCATTATATTTTGAGTAGAATTAGAATATGTTTGGTACAAGGCATGTCCCAAGACTTACCATTCTCGGTAAGAAAGGAAAGGGTAAATGTGAACAACATGAGGAAGCAAACTCAAACCTGCAGGTAGTCTTCCAAAGCCCGGGTGTTGGACATAGGACTTGGTGAGGTGATGCTGAATCAGGGTCATTCCTTACCCACTGATAAAATCAGGACATCTGACATCAATAAACTAAACACCCTCTAATTACCCATTCATTCCATAACATGACTGACTTACAGAAAATAACTATAATTGAAAAAAACTCACTGTAACATCAACATGGAGGTTAATTGTTGTCGTCGTCTCATCGTCGTCTTGGTGTGAAACGTTTTTGCCGTGTCTCAGCCACGTTCTGGGTTGGGGTCTGGAGTTGGTCACTTGGTGCAGTAGAGAATTCTGAAGGACAAGCATCTGCTTTTGGTTTTCTTTCCTTTCGCTGCATCTTGGAACAAGGCTTGTGCTTGCCTTCACACTTCCAGAGGCTGAAAGATTTCACAGAACCATTCTTTTGTTCACCTTATTTATCTGTACAGTTCATCGACAGCAATGTTCTTTTCATGGTAAAGGAGTGATTATCACCTGATGCTAAATATATGTGTGTTTATGCAATCAAACATTCTAATTGCTAAATGATTATTTTTTTTTGACACAAACAGTACTAAAAAATGTCATTGGATTGGTGTTTTCTGCATGCTAAGGGAATGACATGACTTAACCAGTTGCTGGCTTCAGACCCCTGGTACTTCAGTATCTGTTGTATTTCAGAAGTGTCTGCATGTGTGTGTGTGCCCATCCAAGGACTGAGAATACTGTTCATTTCAGAAGTAGCTGGTTTCCCATTGCCAGTCACGAGGGGTTTTTTAGAAGTAGTACGGATCCTGTCGGTTGTTCTAGTGTATTTTCTGCTTATGCATTAACAGATTGAAGTCAGTTTTGCTGGTGTGTGCTTTACTTTCAAGAATTATTGGAAGGCTCTTTCTCCACTTTATCTTTCAAAGAAGTGTAACTGGTGTTGGGGAGCCCTTGTAATTTTTTTTTTTGTTTCTGTGAAAACGTTCTGTCCCTTTCATAGGTTAAAATCGTGAGAGAACATGAGAAGTGGGCGAAACGCTAAATTGTGCTATAAATCAAGAAACTTTATGTGAAATTATGTATTTTCTAATTACCTTGCTTAGCTATATGTTAAGCAAAAAAGCAAACGAGCTGCACAAGTTGAAGAAATGTCAGATAAACAAAATCTGACATGTGTAGTATTATTACCATCTGACATATCTCAAACACTGATTTTACTCACTCATCCTTCATTCTTTATATCCGCGTGTCTAGCGGTGCATGCATTTATATTTTATATAAAGGGCAGAGTCTGTAGTCAGAGCATTTGAGTTATGCTGTTAAAAATAAATTAAGGAACAGCAGGTGAAAATGAGTCCTACACATGAATATTCAAACTGTACCTCAGCCAGATACTCTAGAAAGAATAATGAAGAGCAGTGAAACTTTGGTGGGGCCAAGGCGTTGATATGATGTGAAATAAAAGTTTTATTGGAAGGAGCTTGAGATGACTCAGAAAACATAGTGAAATAGTGGGGAAGCACACGTCTGCTTGTGTGCCCATTGCCCAAACATTCAGGAGTTTAAAAAATTGAGGGGGGAATAGTAATGGTCTTGTTGGAAGCCTGGCAGTCAGGGACTGAATCTCAGTTCTTCCACTCTTATTCTCTGAGCAGAACGGGCTTTGGGTCGGTGGGAGGGTGTTGGGGCTACGTTGAAAGCTGAGACCTGAGTTCATTCTTTCTCTGGCAGAAGGAATGCAAATACATTTCCTGTGCATGTGCATCATTTAGGGCTGGACTCACCAAGGTATTGGGGCACTTCAGTCAGACCATCAACTACTTTTTTTTTACTGTAAGAATGAAGAAAGTGCAACTTTGACCCTACTTAACTGATGTGCATCGTGTTACCCTTGTTGGATTCTCTGAGGTTTAACAGGAATTGGGAGCATGCCCACTGTTCAGGGCCCTATGATGGGGAATTTTCAGGGAAAACTCCGCATCCAGAATACATTTGTGGAGCTGACATGAATTTGTAAAGACAAAACGTACTTAGATACTCTGGCAATATGGAGGGCGACATAGTAATGGATGAGTGACGACTTCTCATGTCAAATTATTTATTTTTATTTTTTTCTTTGCTTACATCACAGATCCTGTCCATGGGCCACAGAACGTAGAGGTTGTTGATATCCGCTCCCGGCAGCTGACGTTGCAGTGGGAGCCCTTTGGTTACGCGGTGACCCGCTGCCACAGCTACAACCTCACTGTCCAGTACCAGTACGTGTTTAACCAGCAAAAATTTGAGGCTGAGGAGCTCATCCAAACTTCTTCCCACTACACCTTGCGAGGTCTTCGGCCCTTCATGACCATCCGGCTGAGGTTGGCCCTCTCCAACCCGGAGGGCAAAATGGAAAGTGAGGAGTTGGTTGTGCAGACCGAGGAAGACGGTAAGTTCTGTTGGGTTGGCTTGATTGCTTGGGTTTTTGGGGGGAAGACTCACATTTTCAGGTTGTAAATAACGACATAACCCTCTGTCCCATCAGACTTATCTGTTTCACAGCCGTGTTCTTGAAAGGGCAAGGGTCCCTGAGGAGCTGGGAAATGATGAACACTGGTGTAAGCAGTTACCGGTCGGCGGTAGGTTTAAGTCTGTAGGAGTCATGTTCTGAGCTGCCCAGGACCCACAGAGCAGCTTCTTTTATCATATGGGTAAATGTAATCCTGGAATTCGTTGATTTTTCTTATGCCCTCCCATCGCTATCCCAGAAAGAAGGATAATGTTTTCCTTTCCTGAATGTAGCTTTTCTGAATGCTGGTGGTGTGGATGGAGCATTTTGGGTACATCTCGGAAGCCGAGTTCCTTTGGTGCTAACTCTTCCCTTCTTGATACAAAAGAATCGTTTCCGGAAGCGCTGATGGAAAGCTTTAAAGTGTTATTATCCCATCTGAGCTATTTCAGACCAAGGACTCTCAGAGAGAGAAAGGAGCCTTGCACTCTAATGTGTTAAAAAAGAAGCGTTCTTCCTCTGCCAGAGCTGTAAAGGAGCTGCTGCCTTAAGTTTCTCCCAGCTGCAAGTGGCTCCAGCAGCCCAGTATATCATGTGGGGGGACATAAGAGGACAGCAGATCCATAAGAAAAATGGACAGGGTTTTTAGCAGACAGGCTTGGAAGTGCATTTAGTTAGTTATCTTCCACAGCATTCAAATTTTGCTTGAGTAGGTGGATTTTTTATTTTTTTTTTTAGCTGGCCTTGTAGCCATAATGAAATATAAATCTTCCATTGTTACTTTACTAAGGAAATCAATCTTTGATATTGATAAAGGTGTACAGCCCAGTAGCATCTTTATGCCAAGGTGCAATCTGGCTGTTTAGGTGATAGAGCTTTGCTGTTGTGTGGGTGGAGAAGGACAAATTGAATTCCCTGCTGTGCTGTACTGGAGTAAGGACGTACTGAAATTAGCTTCATCTATTCATGCATTCTGGTTTTATTTATCACTTGGTGGTTACATTAGGGTATTCTTATTTGAACCAAAGGTTGAGAAGAGGCCTTTCATATTGTTAGTACCTTGGTAATGGTAATGCATTGAGGGATTTTTAAAATTATATTTTTTTAATGGTTTTTATTTTCAACTGTCTGGTGGCCTCTTGGTGTCTTCTGACGTGTGCGGCTGGAGCTGGTAGTAGCTTCTAACACAATTTTTTATTTTTTTTTTCCTTCCTCTAGTTCCTGGACCCGTTCCCTTGGAATCCATCCAGGGAGGACCTTTTGAAGAGAAGATCTATGTTCAGTGGAAGCCTCCAAATGAGACAAATGGCATCATTACACTCTATGAGGTGAGGAGAACAGATTGTTGTCAAGGAATACATGCCACAGGGCCTTTTCATATGTGTTTAAGCCAATCCTGAGCTCTGAGACTTAAGCAGGTGCTAAAGAAGCCTGATTAAAATAGATAGGAGTCTTCAAGATAGTCTGCTGCTGTCACTGAAAAAGTTTTTCAATTCAAAAAAGAGAAAAGATTTCTCTACCAGTGTTTGTAGCAGAATGAGAGCCGTGTATTGCCCCCGTGTCTCGGGGGTTCAGTTCCTGTTCTTTTTTCTCCAAGGTCTGTTTTCTTTCCTTTTGTTTCTTGAGATAAACCTCTGTTAGATTTTATACCAAAATACTGCAACTAATTCTTCTCTGCCTTTCCAGTAGTCCTAAGGCTTCCTGGCAATCTCAGCAGGGTATAGCCATGAGTCTTTCAATGATACGTCTATCTCGCCCAACCATTTTCATTGCCTCCAAAAATATACAAAATATACAGCAGGTTATAGGATAATCACTGACCATCCCATGCTGGATGAAAAAAAAATAAAAATTAAATGTGATTGTAGAGTGTATCAGAGGAAATGTTTCTTGTTAAAGTGAGGAAATGTTACTGTTGTAATGTACTTCTGGTGAGACTGCGTCCATAACGTCAGGTACACCCAAATATGCAAAAAGGAATATAAAAGGAGGACTGCCTTAGAGGATTATGAGACACAGTGCTGCAGGAGAAGGTAGAGGCACTTTCATTAAATAGCAGAAAGCAGCTCAGCAGTGCTGGCTGAGCGTGTTGCAGTTTATAGGTTCAGCGTTTACCACAGTGAGACCAGAAAAAATGCGAAAAAATTTTCCCCTATGGTGATGTAAAAATCCTCACTGGGGGCTTGTGCAGCATTTTCAGATACAGAGGGACAAACCCCTATTTTTCTGTTTTCTCTTTTACCCTGGGAGAATGTACAAACTTATTCCACATGGGTGCAAGAAGCAACTCCACCATCCCCAGTGAGGTTCTGCTCCTTTCCTCTTCCCATCCCGCTTCTCGGTTTGGAACAGCACGTCTTATAACAGGTCACTCCTAGATCCCCTTGGGAGCATTTGTTGTCTCTAGCCCAGTGATGGTCAAATGGAAAAAGTAAAGGAGGTTTAACATCAGTGAGCTCTTACGCTACGGCACGAGATGGCAACTTTCTCCTGGGCTTCAATGTAACTGCACCTTTAGGCCATCTCTCCAGCTGGCTCACAAAGGGTAGGCTGAATTTGGTACAGCAAGACTAAATAGGTGAACAGAAGTTCCTCTTGCTAATTTTGTGTTGTTTCAACCAGGTGAATCCTTGGTGACATCCTTGTGACTAAATCCTTGGCTAAAATAGGGAGTCAGTTTTTGTTGGTCACTGCTGAGACGCTTGTGGAAATCTGTGCAGGCTCATACCCCCTGTCTGTGCTAGGACAGAGCTATCCCTGGCAATTCCATGGGTTTTGGAGGTGTGCTACGGGCTGCCCTGTGTCTGTGTAAGGAGCTGTGCAATAAAGCTGTCTGTATCTTTAAGGAATTAATCTGAACAGAATCAGTTGCAAATTCATTATTTTATTGGTAATACAGGTGAGCTATAATGGAATACATTTAAAATAATCCCAGTCAAATGATGCAAAAATAACTCCTTTTCATTTTTAAAGAGGCCGTTTCCTACTAAAATATTGCCTCGGGCTCAGCTCCTTGAAAGGACTTGGGCAATTGAGTGGCTTTTCTGGCTGAGCAGCTGCATGGAGATACTTTAGTGCCTCCAGGGTAGTGATGCATCATGACTGTACCTTTGCCCCTCAAGTCATGTCATTGCTCCAGCCTCTGGAGGCATAAACAAATTTTTCTTTTCAGATAATGACTCTATGCATATTTGGCAGCTGAAGCCAAAGAGAAGTCAAGGTGAATTCAAACTCTTCCTCCTTTTCCTCCTCCCCCTCACGTCCAAAAGGATGAAAATCCAAGTGTTAAAAACACCAGGAGACCTGGAGTGCCTGAAGGTTGTCATGAATGGAAATGCTTTCCTTTCCTCTCCCTTCTTACATGTGGAAATTCATACAGAACATTTCCATTCTCCATGGCATCCTGAGACGAGTTCATCAGCTCCAAATAGAGATGAGCAGTTACACATAACCTGGAGACATGGCCAGAGTGTTCTCGAGCTGGTGAAATCTCTATCATGAGCAAATATGAGTGCGAGTGGCAGGAGATCCTGGGTTTGAAATGGCTCAGTAAATAAAGTTACAGGTATGTGCACAGCAGACCACTGAAGAGGTCTTCCTTAAATCTTCCTAAAAATAGTGAGAAACATGCAGTATGGTCCACAGTTGCATCTTTTGTATTGCTTGCTTAATCCCTGGTATACTGTGGATTCTTAAACCTGTGCCTTTGTCTCTACGTGTATTATTTCAGGATTTCATGCCATCAGAGTAATTCCTCAGTAGTGATCACCTCCAAAGTGTTATTTCAGACAGGGTTCAGCCATTTTGCAGTATCATCATGGCCTTACACTGCTTTAACGGAGTTCAGCTGACCTGTTGGTTAAAGAGGGAAAAAAAATGTTAGTGGTTGGTCTCAGATGGGCTTTCAATTCTTTCCCATGGCCTATGGTACCAATCCAGGTATAAGGAGAGGCTTTAACAACAACAGAAGAAAGAAAGTCAAACCATGAGCTTGTGCAGCACTACTCGAACGGGGTCCCTGCAGGGAGCACAGTCCTGAAGCCCTAAAAATTAAATGTGATTGTAGAGTGTATCAGAGGAAATGTTTCTTGTTAAAGTGAGGAAATGTTACTGTTGTAATGTACTTCTGGTGAGACTGCGTCCATAACGTCAGGTACACCCAAATATGCAAAAAGGAATATAAAAGGAGGACTGCCTTAGAGGATTATGAGACACAGTGCTGCAGGAGAAGGTAGAGGCACTTTCATTAAATAGCAGAAAGCAGCTCAGCAGTGCTGGCTGAGCGTGTTACAGTTTATAGGTTCAGCGTTTACCACAGTGAGACCAGAAAAAATGCGAAAAAATTTTCCCCTATGGTGATGTAAAAATCCTCACTGGGGGCTTGTGCAGCATTTTCAGATACAGAGGGACAAACCCCTATTTTTCTGTTTTCTCTTTTACCCTGGGAGAATGTACAAACTTATTCCACATGGGTGCAAGAAGCAACTCCACCATCCCCAGTGAGGTTCTGCTCCTTTCCTCTTCCCATCCCGCTTCTCGGTTTGGAACAGCACGTCTTATAACAGGTCACTCCTAGATCCCCTTGGGAGCATTTGTTGTCTCTAGCCCAGTGATGGTCAAATGGAAAAAGTAAAGGAGGTTTAACATCAGTGAGCTCTTACGCTACGGCACGAGATGGCAACTTTCTCCTGGGCTTCAATGTAACTGCACCTTTAGGCCATCTCTCCAGCTGGCTCACAAAGGGTAGGCTGAATTTGGTACAGCAAGACTAAATAGATGAACAGAAGTTCCTCTTGCTAATTTTGTGTTGTTTCAACCAGGTGAATCCTTGGTGACATCCTTGTGACTAAATCCTTGGCTAAAATAGGGAGTCATTTTTTGTTGGTCACTGCTGAGATGCTTGTGGAAATCTATGCAGGCTCATACCCCCTGTCTGTGCTAGGACAGAGCTATCCCTGGCAATTCCATGGGTTTTGGAGGTGTGCTACGGGCTGCCCTGTGTCTGTGTAAGGAGCTGTGCAATAAAGCTGTCTGTATCTTTAAGGAATTAATCTGAATAGAATCAGTTGCAAATTCATTATTTTATTGGTAATACAGGTGAGCTATAATGGAATACATTTAAAATAATCCCAGTCAAATGATGCAAAAATAACTCCTTTTCATTTTTAAAGAGGCCGTTTCCTACTAAAATATTGCCTCGGGCTCAGCTCCTTGAAAGGACTTGGGCAATTGAGTGGCTTTTCTGGCTGAGCAGCTGCATGGAGATACTTTAGTGCCTCCAGGGTAGTGATGCATCATGACTGTACCTTTGCCCCTCAAGTCATGTCATTGCTCCAGCCTCTGGAGGCATAAACAAATTTTTCTTTTCAGATAATGACTCTATGCATATTTGGCAGCTGAAGCCAAAGAGAAGTCAAGGTGAATTCAAACTCTTCCTCCTTTTCCTCCTCCCCCTCACGTCCAAAAGGATGAAAATCCAAGTGTTAAAAACACCAGGAGACCTGGAGTGCCTGAAGGTTGTCATGAATGGAAATGCTTTCCTTTCCTCTCCCTTCTTACATGTGGAAATTCATACAGAACATTTCCATTCTCCATGGCATCCTGAGACGAGTTCATCAGCTCCAAATAGAGATGAGCAGTTACACATAACCTGGAGACGTGGCCAGAGTGTTCTCGAGCTGGTGAAATCTCTATCATGAGCAAATATGAGTGCGAGTGGCAGGAGATCCTGGGTTTGAAATGGCTCAGTAAATAAAGTTACAGGTATGTGCACAGCAGACCACTGAAGAGGTCTTCCTTAAATCTTCCTAAAAATAATGAGAAACATGCAGTATGGTCCACAGTTGCATCTTTTGTGTTGCTTGCTTAACCCCTAGCGTACTGTGGATTCTTAAACCTGTGCCTTTGTCTCTACGTGTATTATTTCAGGATTTCATGCCATCAGAGTAATTCCTCAGTAGTGATCACCTCCAAAGTGTTATTTCAGACAGGGTTCAGCCATTTTGCAGTATCATCATGGCCTTACACTGCTTTAACGGAGTTCAGCTGACCTGTTGGTTAAAGAGGGAAAAAAAATGTTAGTGGTTGGTCTCAGATGGGTTTTGAGTTCTTTCCCATGGTCTGTGGTACCGATCCAGGTATAAGGAGAGGCTTTAACAACAACAGAAGAAAGAAAGTCAAACCATGAGCTTGTGCAGCACTACTCGAACGGGGTCCCTGCAGGGAGCACAGTCCTGAAGCCCAGCCCCAGCAGTGCTGCTTGTCACCAAGGAGGAGCTGGGAGGCTCTGTGGTGTCACAGAATCACAGAATGCTACAGGGTTAAGAGG